TGAAGGTCTTGAGTGAGTGGGAGGAGAATAGTATATCGACTGCCGAAGAGGGGGATGATACACGGCCCGTTTGTGATAAATACTTCCCGACTACGGCGACGGATGGTCGAGCGCGGATGCTGGGCCGTTTCGATGTCGAATGTCGTCGGAGTTATTACATGGAGTCGGTGTGCAGGAAACGGATTCAGGAGTTGGTTGCTTTGGTCTTGGAGGATGGTGATCGGAGAAGAGGATGATGTTTTTGAGGGTTGGACAGGATATGTTGGAGGATGAGCGTGAGGCGGTTGCGGAGGGCTCTTTTTCGAATCTTTTTGTTCTTCGCTATTGATGAGGAGGATGGGTTGAGGGCGTTTGTCTGGTGTTGAGGGTTAGGGTATTTGGGGTAGGACTTGTCCTGCTGTTACACTTCTACAATTTTTCAGATTTTCTGGTGGTCTTCGCGTATGATCGACAACTTCAACGTCTTGTCAATCCTACACAGAGCTATGACATACCAGTCGCTCCTTTTCAATGAATCTGGAATAATGTGTACAGACATGGGAAAAGTATTAGCAATTATTCCTTCTTCCGAGCCAAGCATAAAGATGAATGACATTCTTTTCCGAGAATGGCGACCTGTCAATTCGGAAACGTGGATCGCGCAAGTCTTTGGATAGATTTGTTGTGACAAGCTTTGAGATGGGCTGAGGACGTGCCCTTCCGAATCACTATGTTTTAAGACCGAGGAGGGTTCAATCTGGACAGGAATGACATCTGAGAGAGATGACCACGAGAAGAAGAAAGAGGATAAAATTTAAAGGCTACGGCTAGGTTAGTAGATGAGGTGAGTTGCGCTAAGTTCAGAAGACTCTACGGTCTTGGCCAGTACTTATCAAGCAGAGGCATCTTGCAACATCATCTCTGGCGACCTCGAAGAGTTGAGTTAAAGTATGTAAGAGCTCAAGTGAAGCGATCACCGGAGTCGCAGACTTTTGTTCGGGCGATTGGAACTCTTGAGGTTGGGCGGCCTCTTCTCGGTCATGTCTTTTAAAGTCCGCTAAAGTCCGCTACCATTTCATCATCATGAATAAATACAGAATATATAAAGACTCTCGAAACTGCAGCCCCTAATCTCACGACAGAATTCCCTTCCTTCTCTTCACCCTCCTTAAAAAATACTAGACCAGCCTTTATAAAAATGGCCACCCCCCAACAAAAGACCAACCTCAACATCGTCTTCGGCGCAATGACATTCGGCAAAGAAGGTAAGTAAAGAAAACCACTCTCCCACCCCATCCCAAAAAAAAACAAGCAAAAAAATCTCAACACAAAAACACATCAGGCGCCGAACAAGCACGAACCCACAACGTAAAAGACGCAGCCGCGATCCTCGACGTCTTCCAAAACCACGGTCACACCGAAATAGACACGGCGCGCTACTAGGGCGGCGGCACCTCGGAACAATACCTCGGCGCTACCCGAAAGATCTGCGGAAACACCTGCTGCAGAGTCTTGAAGCGCTGAAATGTGGGAAGGTGGATATGTGGTACCTGCACGGACCGGATCGGACGACGCCTTACGAGGTGACGCTGAAAGCCGTGGATGATCTTTACAAAGAAGGGTATTTCGATAGATTCGCTGTGAGTAATTACATGGCGTGGGAGGTGGCGCAGATATGCGAGATATGTGAGAGGAACGGGTGGGTGAAACCGGTTGCTTACCAGGGTGTCTACAACGCGCTCCACCGATCCGTGGAATGGGAGTTGTTCCCCTGTTTGCGGAAATATGGGATGGCGTTTTATGCGTATAACCCGTTGGCGGGCGGGTATTTGACGGATCGGTATCATCGGGATGATGGGGAGGGGATGCATGAGGAGGGGAGTCGGTTTGATCCTAAGAGGTGGCAGGGGAAGATGTATAGGGCTAGGTATTGGAATGAGGAGTACTTCGATGCGTTGGATTTGTTGAGGCCCGTGGCGGAGAAGCATGGGTTTAGTGAGGCGGAGTGTGCGTTGAGGTGGATGGTGCATCATAGTCAGTTGAAGAGGGAGCATGGGATTGGTGATGCGATTATCATTGGGGCGAGTAGTACGGCGCAGCTTGAGGAGAATTTGGAGAATTTGGAGAAGGGGCCGTTACCTGATGATGTTGTCAAGGCTTTGGACGAGGGCTGGGCGAAGGTGAGGGGGATCAGTTGGAAGTACTTCCATTGATAATTCTTGTATTGTAGGCAGCAAGTTTATTTCCTACTGGGCTTGTCCGTTTGAGCAAACTTGATATCTCCCTTGCCTGCCAATTTAATTTCTCTGCTTTCAAACTCGGACTCTGTCTGTGAAGCCTCGCAGCCTCTGTGAATTTGAAAAACCTTATTGAAGAGATCTGAAGGTGCGACTCGACCGGGAGAATCGTTCGCTGGAACAATAGACGCTGTCGACTTGTAAGCATTGGGGATTGAATTTGGATTATCGGTCCTACGCTTTCGTACTATGTAACTTTTTGCAAAAATGAGCCCGCCTTGTTTTGCAGTCGATATCGTTGACGAGACCGTATTCAATAGATCCAAGATATATCTCCAAGTGTGCAGCCCTCCGTAGTAGTAGTAGTGCTAAGTAGTATTTGGGCAGCATGGTGAAGTTGATGTGATTAGTTCTGCCTTCCTTAAAGACGTTTGATGTGGTCGCTATGGGATCAGAAGTTGATTGATGCTGTCGATGCTCGGATAGCAGCAGCGCTCAAGTACTCGAGATCCTGTTCACCGCAAGCCCTGAGCAGAATAAGCATGAATGTTGAGAAATGATGGCGGCATAGTCTCACCTATTGAGAAAACAGTCCACATTCCATGGATGGTTCAATGACCATGTCTGTGTCGCTTAGAATAAGGCGACAGGCAGTAGAGGGAATCATTTCCTGGATGTTCTGACTCAGCTCCTCGGTGCTTGAGATCGACTCCTCAGTGGATGCGTCTAGCTCCATGACAGGAATTTCTTCCTCGGTTAAGAGTGGAAAGTCTCGCCACAAGGGGTGCTTCTTGAATCTTTTCGCGTTCGGGCTGTGGTGATTGCCGTCATCTTCTTGATTCCAGATCAGGCATGGTGGATTGTGTTTGCAATGTTTATCATTGCGAGTGAAACATGTCTTGCGTTCCAAGTTGACTTTCTGCGGCTCGACGATATGGTGTTGGTGATTCATGCATCTCCAATTGCCGCACAAATGACTCAATTGATATCCTTTCTTGATAATGCCTTCCTTCTCTTCATCGCTAAGAAGACCCCGAACCAGGAGGTTTGCAGTACCAAAGTTCATGCTCCATCTACCGATCGAGGAGTCGATGTATACACCTATCCTGAGTGACCCATCACCATCAAGGTTGTGATTGAACCAGCAATACTGTGGCAGTCCGAGATCCTCCCACGTCTCAGGGCGGAGCGCATCTGGATGAACCAAACCCGTCATCATGTTCAACACGTTCGCTACCCTCTTCTTTATTCGTATCATGACCATAGAACTGTCTGCGCTTTCGAAAAGAACGATTTCCTTCTTGCGCTCTAGAGTTGTATGGTCGACGGAACCTTGATGTACCCGACTTGTTTGGGAGAAGCCTGGCATGCAGAGGCCCTGGGCTACTTCGAAGGTAAGAGAATCCTCCATTTTGAGAGCTGTTCTGAGAGTGGCACCTTGTGTGGTTTTGATTCGGTTGCGAGATTCGGCCGCTTATCTCAGGTCGGTGACGATCAGCATAAGCATTCATAGTCGAGATTTCAGGACTTACCTCTGCCGCATAAGGGAGAATTAGAACGTTGTGAAAAGGGAAGGAGGTGTGAAATTGATGAGAATGAGAAAGAGTTAAAGGTGGTAGAACCTGGTGAACTAGTAGAGGCCAAAGTGACCTTGAGATCTCATTGTGAGCATCACAGATACCCGGCATGACTGGCGAGGCAGCAATCCAGCGCCTCAGATCGACAATTGTCGGGTCATTTCTGTAAGAAGAAGTGAAGTCCAGGTAAGAAGAGCTGTTAGACTTCTGACAGCCGGTCTGAAGTCGAGTAAGACAGTGTAAAGTGTGGCTACTGGGAATCGGTGGAAAGTGTCATCACACAGCAGGTGCAAGCTGGAGCAGGTATGAAGGGAAAAGGAAGAAAAAAAATTGATGATGGAATAATGGGATAAAAATTCGGGCTTCATGATATAACGTTGAAGGTCATCATTTACAAGCGAAACCGAATGAGAGCTGAGATCCATGATTTCCGATGGCCTAGAGCAGGATATAAGATACCAGCTGTGAGTGCTAGAATCAGCATAAGAAATTGGACATTATGGCTCTCTTCCCTGTAGTCTAGATGTGAGTGAGGGTAAGAGCTTCGGCGCCATACAGATATTCCAAGTGTTCTGATGGAAGACTGACTTTCGTAGAGGGTACAGATGAGGAAAGAGAGGAAGGGTCCGAAATCAGGCCACCTGCGTAAGTGTTGCATAAATCTGACAGTAGCTGTATTCTCATATCTCCCGCTGAGCTTCGTTAGTCCAGAGACGCGCTTCGCGTAGTATACGAGCAAGTACTGAGACAGTGTAGCTGCCTTCATCCGAGCTCAGGATGGTTACGGCTAGAGTGTCTTATCAATTCAAAGCATTGAGAAATCCGCATATTGAGATTAAAATCTGGTGTTGAAGGATGGAAGACGGCAAGAAAAGAAGAACCGAGAATTTGACTTGGATGCGAGAGGCACGTGTCGAGCTCACCTCAGGTCATCTCAACCCGAATTCTTCCATAAGAAGTAATAGCTTCAAGAAGAACTCGGATGTTTTTGTTGATATATAAGAATGAAAAAAGTTTGCTAGATGAAAATATCTTCATCATCGGCTTTTGTGGTAAGATACCTGAGGAACCCTAGGCTCCGAGGGGTCTAGTTCCAAGTCACAAAAGCGGCACCCCTGCATCGGCTACAGAAAGGGCAATTCTTCAGAAAGTAAAAGAAATTTCACTTCAACGAGAAAAGATGGATGAAGAGGCGGCTGGACAAAAATGATCGCGCCCAGGTTTGAACTGGGGACCTTCAGTGGTCAATCAACTCGCAGGGCGAGCAGTTGTTAGACTGACGTGATAACCAACTACACCACGCGACCGTTTACTTAATTGGGCAAAGATCTCTAGAATATCAAAATATAACTCAATCATACGTTCTGCTCGATACAGAAGTAACAAATCAATGCCCCTAACCACCTCCCGCCCCAAATATCTGGCCTCTACATCCGAAGAAAACACGGACATTCAATTCCTTTATCAACGTTCTGACATCCGCGTTAGCAACTAACAGAAATCGTCATTGGCCAAAAAAGCATGATGCACGGAGTCAAGGCTGCGTTGACGGGAAAAGCTTCGGAGACGGGGTGGTGCAGTCCTGATTCCTGAAGTCCTTTCCGGATCACAGCAGTTCCATCAACTCCGCCGTACCTCAATGAATAGCTGCGTCGATTTCACCGTCTCTGTTCAGAATTGATGTTGGTTAATTTCTGGAGGGGGTGTTTTTGATTGACGCCAGGAATTTACGAGGACCTAATCGAAGCTATAACGTTCTCTATTGAGAGGAGAGCGCCGATACTCCTAGAAGTTGAGGACTCGGGATGAGTGAGGCCGCTGTGGGACGATTATATTGGAATCTTGCTATCTGTATCGGAACACTTCCATATGCAGCTATATCGCAAAGCATCGTGCCTGACGAATGCCCCACGAGCTAGAACTCGTAAAGGACGTGTCACAGACAGGCAACAGATACAACATGGAACTCTTGCCATCACAATTTGGATGGCCATCATTTCTATCTTAGAGATCAGGAACGACCGATATTCATCGCGCAAAATAGGCTACGACTAGCACGCGCCACCCGGACAAGCGATCCCAGAGCCATAGTAGTCTCCAGACACACCCGCGATCTGAAGAATAGCATTGAGTACACCGCCAATACCCTCTCCGGCGATCAGACCAGCAGCGACGGCATAGCAGAAGATTTCGTAGTGCTTCGCATTCTTCTTCTCCCACAGGTAAGCCCAGACTGAGCCGATAACCATGGCAGTGCCGTCTGTTTACATAATTAGCACAAGGCAAGGCAGAACCTGGGGTTTGGCAACTTACAATATGTCTGAGGCAAGACGAAGGCCAAGGATACACACATCATGTTGGGGTGGTACGTCCTCACCCACTCGAGCCTACCAACCCAAACGTACTGTCTCAAGATGCACATGAAGCAGCCAAACGCGGCAAAGATGATTGCAAAGATACCGGCTGAGGTGGGGATAGGCAGCTCTGGGTCCGTGGCTGCGACGGCAACAATGCGCCATGCTGAGACGGATGGAGCTGAGAAAGAGCACTTGTCCTCCATCAAGATGACACAAGGGTATGCAGTCATGAAGAGCTGGAAGATCGCTGGAGCGAGGAAAATCGCAACGAAAGTTCCGATACCTTGTACAAGCCATTGTTGGATCGGAGGGGTTCGTAGTAGAAAGCCAGTCCGGAAATCCTTTATATTGTCAGTAAGAAAAACGACACGCGGAAGATGAGATCAGATTTGCGCCGGTGGGGAGCAGATGAATGATATGAGCGACTTCAGGTATCGAGGCACACAAGGCTCAACTTTGCCCAAGAGAATCAGGGCCCGTGTCCCAGGCCCAAGGCATCACTCATCTCGTCCCTACCAGCACAGATGTGATGCTGATTAGTAAGAGAAAGACAACAAAAGACTAACCTGCGTTAGATCTGTGGCTTGGTTCGCTCCGATATTAGCCAGTGCACCTCCGAGTAAATTAAGTCGCTGGGCATGCTCGGTTTGCCAGTGCTCTCCCTTGGTGGCACCTCCAAGAATGATTTGCGATGCCTTGGAGGCAGCTGTCAATGGGGTGATGTCTGTGACGCCTGTGCATTGGACGGCGAGGAACGAAAAGAAGAAGGCGAGGAAGACGGAGAGAAGAGACATGCCGACGGGCATATCAAATTGCACGCCCAATACGACACAGATGCAGATTATGGAGGCAACGAGACCTGGCATCCTATCGAAGTATTAGCTTGAGACTGGACAAATCCTTGGCAGTCCTGCATCAATTTGCCAGATGCTGTCGAAAGCATATTAACGCACCACATCCACATTTTGACTTGCTCATTTTCAGCAGCCGGATCCTCAACGAGATCTACGTGTGACTGGTCCGCCTTTCCTCGAAGCCAGGCCAGATCTTTACCCGCAAGCTTAGCCATGTCAACCACACCCTTACCGAGACCGCGTCCGACGGCCTGGAAGGCGAACCAGATGATCTTCCACTGTAGCAAAAGCTCTGTGAAAGAGATAGCAATCATGGCCAGAACACCGGGCCACAGCAGCCAATAACGAGGACTCGGTGCTTCTTTGGTCGAAGCCGTGCCGGTGAAAGAATAGAAGGTCACTAATTCACCCCATTTTGGATCTCCAGGGGCGCTCAGCTTTCCAAACGCCGCGCCATTGTGGACAAGACTTGGACCTATGATACCCCAGGCCAACACACTGCCGCCAAAGAAAGAGATCGAGACGTTGAGGCCGGTGAGCATGCCAACCCCGATGAAGGCCGGAGTGAACTGGACAAACCATCCCCAGTTTTCCACGTGGATGGCAAGGTTCTTGTAGTGGCCCCAGATATAGAACCAAAGGAAGAAATGCCACTCCCAGAGAATACCGAGGCAATATTGCGAAACAACTCGCAAAGTGAAGGCGCAGCCGAAAGCGATGGACAGAGCCTTCATCTTCATCTTCCCAATACGCTCACCTCTTGTTGCGTCGTGCATTGACCGAATGGTCATTGCCGTGGCTGAAGCAGATGGGAAGATAAGACGAAGCTCACGAGCAACGTAGACAATGAAGAATTTTCGCACTATTGTGGTGTCAGGTAGTGCAGCAATACTGGCTTTAGGATGCTTACATGGTGTCGCGAAGAAAAATCCAAAATAACCACCCACAGCGGTCAAGGAAACGATGCGCCAGAAATCTTCCTTTGGGGTTTTGAGCAGACCCAGTTGGTAAAGGGCCGGAAAGGCAGATACAAACACGTTCGATAAGCCGCCTGAGGCCATTGCTGCTGTTTGGGCGATGTTGTTCTCCTTGGGTCCAAAGCTCCCTCCAATCACGGGGAACTTTTCAGCAAAAGTCGTCGAAAAGAATTTGAGAACTGCGAAACCGGCGATAGCCTGATGGGCTGTCAGTTTAAGATTTTCGCAAACGCACAACGGGTGTAACAAGTCTATGCCCTTCGAGAAATAACCGAAAAGGTCTATCATCTATAGATTACTATCAATACTGAAAAACTTCTGGCAACGGATGGGAATGATCTCGCCAGAAATTTATCGGTGTTGATATAAAACTAGTATCTGCTAGGTTGAAAACTCGAAATTGATTGCCAGGCTTGAGGGACACAAAATTGGAGAATCAGCTGAGGGCGATTGAAATACTCACTCCGAATAAATTGGCATTGAAAGTCCATCCTGTCTTGAGACCGAGGTAGACATTTGAAGCGTTAACCAGACATCCACAACACAGACCGACGAAGACGGCACGAATGGTCATGACCCATTGCTTCTCTGGTGGCAGGTCATCAAAAGGGCGAAATGGATCCCGAATAAAGCTGTCTATCTCCTCTTCTTCTTCGCTACCGACCTCAATGGTGTGATGTGCCTTCTCGTCTCCATGGAAGGACTCCGTAGGGTCGCTGTTATTTCGCATGGGAGTATCAAAAATGGTGGCGTCTTTTTCCATGTCGCCTGCAAGAGGCCTAGTACGATAAGTCAGCTCCAAATACACACAAGCATGTCCGAATTTGGACTTACGCTGATGGATTGATATGTCCACCAGGGGCAACCTTCTTGTCGAGAACTTCTGCAGCCATTGTCGTTACCACGAAGTACGCTCGGACGATAGTAACAGGCGTGCTCAAAAGGACGTGAAAGTTGCGCGTTTGAAATTCACCAGAAGAGGACAAGGCGAGGTCTAATGTACTGAACACGGACTGCTCCTTGTAGAGAAAAAAATCTGGTGTACTCTACCTTATGCTCGCCGAACCATGTCTGTTGATGCTGTCAGTGCCACTTTTCATCAGTCACATAAACCCGGAGACTGATTAGTTGGTTGCATTAGATGGAAGGGTATCATCCGTTTGGATGGCAAATTGCCACAAATGGCATGGTGTAGCAGACATGGTTCCAGCAGCGCCGGAAGATTGGCCCTTTCGCATGGATAACACTACTGTGGTATGACACAGTTCCTCCTTGATGGATTCGCCAGTGGAAGCGGGGAAGCACAGATCGTCTCCAGCCATGCACTTTCTATCGCTTACCACGACTTCGGTGTTGAATGACCTATCAAACGTGCCTCTAGCGATAGTGAGCTCAGAGTGGATCATGGTGAGCAGGTCCTTGTGGTAGGGTGAACGGCGTTGTGCAAGGACATATAACCAGACGTGGAAACGATCGGTAGCACTTAGCGAAAGGCCAGCCCGCTGGAATCGTTATCGTGAATGCCAAGGACTTTTTCCTGATAAGATGCACAATCAAGGCGCGTGGCGTTGCTTCCGAGGCTCGAAACGACTTCTTGTTATAGTCGACTGTTCAGAAGTCGCGTCGTGCGCATTTGTGCTTGGGCATCCGTAGCTGAGAAGACTACATTGGATCACAGTCGTCAATATTGAATAGCCCAGACACATTGTCCTATCCTGATGCTGTTAGTTGGTGATCGGGCGCCGGAATAAACATTGTGATGGTGGATTGTCTAGTGTTAGCTCAAATGGCGAATCAAATCGTCCGTTTCCTGGGTTTATTTCACCTTCCTGATAACGTATAGATTGTCGCAACCAAATAGAGATTAACGTTTTGCATGCACCAGAAGTTCCAGAACCAGCCCGTCTCCGCGATTGCATCCCACTGTAAGCGCTCGAACGACATCCGCACCGTCTTTGTATAGATCAATTTCTCCCACGTCCAATCAAATATGTACTGTCGCATGTCGACAGCCTCGCGTGGATACATGAAATCTCTGACATCGATTGCCATCCTTCTAGAATCGTCTGGCGCACGTACACGGTCATCATGTCGTGCTCTTGATACCGTCGAGGAAGGG